TGCAGCTGCTGGATGGGCCGTGCGAGCCTGGGGACAATGGTGGTGGTGGAGGTGGCTCCAAGTCAGAGCCAGTGGCCAAGAGGCAGGGCTCCAAGGACCTGCTGGGGAAGCCGCAGCTCTACGACACCCCGTACGAGCCCAGCCTGGAGGGGAAGGCGCGGCCTGCAGACAGCCGGCTGCCTGAGGATGACGAGAGGCCTGCGGCTGAGTATGAGCAGCCCTGGGAGTGGAAGAAGGAACAGCTGGCACGTGCGCTGTCAGGTGAGCACCACGGCCAGGCCACCCTCTCCCCAAACTAAGTCTCCTTTAAATGGACCCATAGTGGTGCACACCATACTGGGTATCTGTGTTGTTCACATACGTATATGCGCTGTGTAATGATCAGCTAGGAAATTGACAAAGCTATCAGCTTGGTCATGCTCCTCGTGCCATCTAAAATCCTTAATCTATCTCAGCCTGGTTTGATGGTGCACACCTGTAATCCCAGCATTCTGGGCAGTTGAGGCAGGAGAACTACAGTGAGTTCAAGGCCAGCTTGAGCTACATGGTGAGTTCAAGACCAGCCCAGGGGGCCTGCCCATTAGCTCAGTTGTTTAAGTGACTGCTTAAACAAGAGTCAGGTTAGGATGCTGTGGTTCAATCCCCACAACTCATGCTAACCAGACCTGCCCTAAAGGCATTCTGAGACCAAAAAAAAAATCCTTCTACCTTGGGGCCAGGGAGATGGCTCAGTAGAATAAGCACTTGCATGGCAAGCGCAAAGGCATGAGTTCAATCCCCAGGTCTGTCAAAAAAAAAAGGCCAGCCCAGAGTATATAAGGAAACCCTGTCTCAAAAAAACAGATTAACTCTTCCTAAAGGAATCAGCTCTTCAAGGGTGAATTTATTTTTATTGTTTTGGATATAAGGCTCACCAAGTTGCCCAGACTGGTCCAGAACTTTGAGGCTCAAATTTTCCTCCCAGTTCAGCCCCTGGTTAGCTGGGACTACAAGTTGGACCACAGGCCAGGGTCCAGTGTTGATGTAACTTAGGAGAAAGTTGATAATTAAGCTGTCAGTAGATGCTAGTCATCCACCCCCCCCAAAAAAAAAGTTTTCTTCATTTGGCTGACTACTTAATTTCTTTTGTCCTTCATTTAACATTTTAGGGACATCTTTTCCCACTACCTGTAAATCCAGGTTCACAGTGAACAGCAGAGCCAATATATAGGGAGAACAGGGGAGAACGTACCTGACCTATCACTGAAGAACATTTGAGCCAGTTTCTGCGTCATTTTAATTCAGTTCTCAAGCTGCCCCCACGGGGTACCTGCTGTTTCTCGGTGCCACAGCATGTGCTGCCGTTGGATCTTAGGCTTCCGTCCTGCCCGAATGTCAGAGCCCCCTGAGAGCACTGCACAGTGGTTTCTGTTTTCGAGTTGGTTTTTCTTTTCTTTCCTTTTTTTATGCATTTAGTACAGGGTCTGCAGTCTCACTGCACGGATCCGACTCAGGGAGCCTCCTATTTTCAATTTCCCAAGAGCTAGGATTTCAGGCGCCTACCACCGTGCCAGCTGCCGTCTCAGTGCACCCCAGGGGAGGGGCCGGCCTAGCACACTGGGGATTGAACCCTTGTTCCTGCATCTGCCTAAGCATGCGCTTTAATCCACTAAGCTATATAGCCAGCCTCTTTTTTTTTTTTTTTTTCATTTTTTAAATTTGTTTTCTGTTTTCTTTCTTCTATTTTCTTCTTTATTGGTTGATTGCATTTTATGGTTTTGTTTTTGGTACCCCGAATTGAACTCAGGGCCTTGCTGGGCAGATACTATGCCATTGAGCT